TGAAGTTAATCATTAAAGTCTTCGTGATAATGTGCATCTAGGCTATTGTTGGGCTAGTTTAACTCATGAAAGTTTAATGCTATTGATGGGTTGCTCATCAAAGTATATTGTTATTGCTCATGAAAATCTTTAAAGTATTCTCCATCCAAAGATCAACTTCTAGAGTGGTTTTGGTTTCTTACTTGTTTAATATGTCAAAGTCATTTAATATATTTTGTTGTAGTGATATGGTGTAGTTAACATTTTTTTTGTTTTTGTTTATATTAATTATTAACTTCTAGCCTATGCCTAGCTTTTTTATAACATTAATAATGTATTTGTTGTTTCAAAAACAAAGATGTGTCATGAATTGTAAATATTAAATAATAAAAACAATTATTTATGTGCATTATTTTATCATATCGTCTGGGGCATGAGAAGGGCATGAGAAACTAGTGGGCCGGTCCTGATTATAATTGAATAAAAGTTGAATGAAATGTAAGTTGTGAGTGCGTAGAGTTGAATGAAGGAGTTAAATGATTATTAAATGGTTCAGTCGAAAAAACAAAATGGTGAATAAATGTTTAATGGGTTGTAGGTGATGTTGTATAAACGAGTTATTATAACAAAATGTTAAATACAAAGGGTTGAAATGTAAATTTATATGAAATTGAAATTGAAATGTCAAATTTCAAATTTGAAATTAATAGTCATTATCTCATGTTTAATTTCTGGAAACAAATTAATGATATTTCGACTTATGTAATAGATTTTCCACTCTACTATAGATTTATGTGATAGTTTCGATCGACGACCAAAATGATGATGGCAACTTACTTCCCTCCGAATTCTTCTCCTTCTTTCCCGACCTTCCTCCACAACGTCGATCTCCCTCGCTCACTCTCTCTCTCTCTCTCTATCTCTATCTCTCTCTCTCTCTCTCTCTCTCTCACACACACACACATTAAAGTCATAAGGTAGGGCGTCAATGAATTTAAATGGACAATATGAGAGGTGCGTAGGTATTGGACTAGTTCCCTTTCGAAGTTATCGCTAATTGTAGGTTCAAACTAGGGAAGATGACATCGAGTTGTTGTATGTCGTTGCAATAGGAAAAATACAAACATCTTTATGAAATTTATAGATTTAGTCCATAGGAATTAACAAGCTGACTTTAAACTCCAAGTCTAATTGTCTTACGAATTTGATTTCCAAAAAATTACAATTTCAACCTTGAAATTATATATATATATATATATATATATATATATATATATATATATATATATATATATATCCAATTAATATTATAACTCTTAATTGTTACACCCCAAACCAGAACGGCGGAATCGTTCGAGGGTGGATGACTTCATGTAGTATCGTAACAGTTGAATACATAGTAAAGAAAGTAAACACAACCATCATATATATAATTTAAGGGTTACATTGTTGGATGATACTTGTTTCAAAAATAAATTACAATATGATGACAAAATGAGTTTAAAACTGACTCCTTAGCATCACTTCTCCAAAAACTGAAGTTTACCTGTATTACTGAATCCATGAGAAATACAAGTAGATTTGAAAGAGTAGATCAACATTTAAGATGGTGAGTTCATAAGTATTTAATGTCAATGTTTGTATAAATTTGAATGAATTTGTTTGTATATGTTTGAAAACTTCTAGAAAATCCCATATTTCCTACTAGTATAAAAGTAGTCTTCTACGAAGACCCGACTATTTCGAACGTTGTTTCTAAAATTCCAATATTTTTCCATAAGTGTATGGTAGTTAAAAAATTCCAAAAAAATATTAAGCAATAATGTTTTTCATGCCTAAAATAGTAGATTTATGCATAAAAAAATCAAACAAAGAAATCGCTAAGACATTGGTTAACCCCGTAAATCAACGTGTTTTTAATACTCCATGTGAGTTTTATAACCATACTATTGACCCAGACTACATGTAACAACGTTCTTCAAGCATTGGAATGTTATGACGTTTGTCACCCCAGACCTGCCGGCCTAACTATAGCTAACACTTTAGGTGCGAGATTGTCAATCCCGTATAGATCTATACACAAGTATCATGCTCTCCCTACAAGAGATTATGGTATATAATACAAGACTTTAACTACATACTCGAAAGTACGTGAAGCTGAACGTCTCACAAAACTTAGTATCAAATAGATTTACGTATGAAAAGTTCATTTGTTCTTGTATATGAAAGTATTTCCTTGATATAGTACTTATATTATGTAAAATCTCTTGAATATCTAGTAAACTATACCTATTATAGTTTTTCTCAAATGTATGATTCGTTGTATGATAAATCCTAGTGCAGTATCAGCTTGGTATGTAGGTATAACATTTGTAATAGCACTATTGAACATTTACACACCAAAATATAAATAAAGTGTTTGATATTTGCATAACAACATGTTTTTACTCTTAAAGGACAAAATGTTATTGAATAGGTGTTGCATGCGAACGTTTTCATATGATAGTTATGAATCACATATGATTTGTTATATAAAGATAAGTGTAGTAAAAGCTTAATGTTTTCCACACGAGAGTAACCGTGTGTTTACTTGTATCCCCCCCCTTTGAAAGTGTATAAAAGCATTTATAAAGTATTTGAAAACGTAGTTGTAGGGGTATGAACCCACCTGATAGATAGAAGAAGGTGAAACGAAAACTGAGCAGAACTTCGACTAAAGAAAGTTGAATTTCTCGGGATTCTTGGGAGTGAAAAACCTTCCTTCGGAACTTAGGTATGAAAATTGGGGTTTCGGGATGGCTTCGGGGGGTTTAAACGCAGAGCTTCGGCATGAGAGAGAGAGAGAGAGAGGCAATGAGCAATGGAATCCAACACATTCGGCTGCTATTTATAGCCCTATATTGGGCGCCACGTCGTGGTACACCTCACCACGTAGTGGTGAGGGATTCTATCCTCTTCCGTTGATGAGACGTTTTCTGACAAACCTGGCACCCATCAGTCACAATACCACGTCGTGGCTTCTTCACCACGTCTTGGTAGGCCTGACAGCCTCAGATTTTGTGTCGAAAACTTGTAAAATTCATAACTTCCGCGTACGAGCTTCGTTTTTAACGTTCTTTATATCCACGCGTAGGTGAGATTATGCTCTACAAATCTCATTTAGACTCCGTCAACAAGTTTTGACTTTATTTTATTTTTATTTATTTTTAACGGGCCGGGACACGAAAAGTCCGTTAAAAATCCATAACTTCTTCATGTGAGGTCCGTTCTCGTCATATTTTATACCGTTTTGCTACTATTGTTGAGATCTTTGATTCTCATTTAGGTTGTATCGGCTAAAAATCTCCCGATCTCTATTTCGAGTATTTTAGCTGTCTGCTGCTATATTTGGAACTTGGAAAAATCATAACTTTCTCATACGAAGTCAGATTTGGACGTTCTTTTTATATACGTATACGGTTTAATGATATCTACAACTTTCATTTAGATACTTAAGGCTAAATATAATTGTATTGAAACTTCACGTTTACGTTTATCAGTA